AGCCATATATTTAGAACAAAAATATAATTAGTTACCTCTAAAACTATAGTAATTATAAATTATAAATAGACTTTGAATCTTAAGACAAAACTCAAACAATAGGTATAAAAAGAAATTAAATAAACTTGTAAGCAAATCAAGTATGGGAAAGGTTCATGGAGGACTTACAAGAGCTGGAAAAGTCAGAAATTCAACAAAGAAGGTTGATAAGATAGATAACGGAAAGAAGAAATTTCCAAGTGGGAGGGGATATATTCGATACCTCTACAATAAGAGAATTGAGATGATTGATGGAAAGGTGAAGAATTATAAATTCAATCCTCAAAATTAATTAATTCATCAGTTAATTATTGATATATCAATGTTATTAGAAAATACACATTTTTGATTAATAAATAAGTAAATATATAATTTTAACTAATACAAAAAGAATAATAAACAGTTTTTACTTGATTTTATTGTTTTTTAAAAAATGATAAATTGTATGGTACTGTTTACCATGAAGGCTGAATATAATCCTTTTATACCATGGAGACTTTTTCTGCAGAGGTGGTAATTTGTATTATATTTATTATTATATTATATTATTTATAACTATTTGAACAATAAGTAGTGGTCAAAAATGGAAACAGTTTATTTATCCCTTTTTATTTTTTTATTTGTAATTTAAACACATTCAGATGTTTTAAAAATAACTTTTCACTATTATATTTAATTATTTATTTTGACTTCGGATTTAAATTTTTTCATAAAAAAGTGATTCTTTAAAAATGTTTTTGGATAAAAACAAAAGAGGTTAACTTGTCATTTGACTTCGTTTACATTAAATTATCTTTTTATAATCACATCGCATAAAAGCATTTTGATGTTGTTAATCTTTCTTATTTTAACGCATTTGTGTTTCGGTATCGATCCCAAAGATGCAAAAATGGACGATAATGTTGAAATTCCAGAAGAACTTTTAAACAAAATAATAAGGTTTGCCAAGAACACGAGAGCGTTATTACAATGGTTTTCATTCTTTCAACAAGATACTGAAAACAGTCCTTTATTTTTCAAAACAGATTTACCCAAACTGATAGGGGACTTAAAAGAAAATGAAAACCAAATGAATGTCTTTTTGGAAGAGACTGAAACTAAAAAGACAATCAAAAAAAGAGGTTTTTTGGATTGGCTCAGATTTTTAGATAGAAGTTATAATTTGCATGAACTACACAAAGGGTATGGAAAATACATTTTACATTTATCTGAAAACCTTGCAAAAGTGCAAAGATATCAATTGTTTGATGAAAATATACAAAGGCAGGTTCTAATAGATTTGATGCTTGATATAAAGTATTATCAAGAAAAATTGAATTTGGTCACTGAATTGGCAAAATATCTTTTACTTGAAAGAGATGGTACTGTAGTTAGGGCAAAAAATAGGTTGTTGGACTTTTGTAATTCTTTGGTTTCCAAACAAGTTCCAGAAATTCAGTTAACTCCTCATTTCGAAGAACACCTTTTACCAAAAATAACAGGTGAAACCACGAGAGCACCAGAAAGACCAGCACCCAAAACTGATTTACCTTCAATTTTAATAAGAGGTGATTCGGCAAAAGGATTGATGGTAAGGTCTCAAAGGAGAGAAGCTGCTAGGAGAAGAAGAGATAGTATGTCTTCTGGTGAGTCTTCAACTGAAGTTTTAGGTGCTGAAGCTCAACCACAAGCTTCCCCAACAACAGAACCACCACGTCCTCCTTCCCCAACAAGAGAGTCTCCAAAAACGTGCACTATTTGTTGATCATAATATTGTTGAGATTTTATTTTAATTTAACAAGTTGAACTATAAAGGCAATATAATAATAACTACACAATTATTGATTATTTGCATTAACACACATCAATTTATTTGTGTATTGAAAAACAAATTCAAAGATATTTGTATTAAATTAGTAAAATAATTATATAATACTATTAATTTCACCAATTTAATTTATTATTATGTTAACTAAAAATATAATATTATTATATTAAAACAATACAATTATTAACATAAACTATAGTTATAGTTTTTAAAACTACAAATAGTTTTCAAAAAGTTAAAAAGTACTAGTTTCCAATTTTAAATAATAAAATATATTTTAGTAAAATTTAGTTAAATATATAAATAGTTTTTTTAATTAAAAATAATAACTATAGTGGTATCAAAACTCTATTTAAAATAATATTTTTAATATTTTTATAATTATAACAAAAAAAAATATTAATAATATTGTCTTTACTACCTTTCACTTTTTTATCTCTTTTTGCGTTCATCCGAAAAAACTGAAAAGTTCAAAACAGAAGAAAAAAATGAACGACGCTTATGCGTATCTCCAAAATATAGTTCCTGACATTGATTCAAAAATTGTCGCCTTAAAATCTTCACTTGAGAAATACACGACAATTTCCAAGCCGACGTTCCCAACAAACATTCACGCGTTACAAACAGAGGACACAATCAAGGCACTCAATGAATGTCTCGAGAAGG